CACACACACACACACACACACACACACACACACACACACACACTAAAGTGAGAGATCTTGTTTCCATATTTGGAGAGTTCAACAATTTCTTTACTACCTACCACAGTTGAACCACTGCACAAGCCCCAACTCATCAGTGTGGAAGGAATGTAGTAAAAGAATGAATTTAGAGGGGTGCAGGTACATAATTGACTTTGTCTATGGTGCCTAATTTGAGTATATATATATATATATATAGAGAGAGAGAGAGAGAGAGAGAGAGAGAGGAGAGGGGGGAGGGGAGGGGAGGGAAGGGAACTAGGTTAAGCTCAGCTGTATTGGGCTGGACTGGGCTGAGCTGAGCTGAACTGGGTCAAGCTGCTGGACTGAGCCAGGCTGAGCTGGCTGGCTTAGGTTGAGCCAGGCTGAGCTGGCTGGCTCAGGTTGAGCCAGGCTGAGCTGGCTGGCTCAGGTTGAGCTGGTGAGGCTGAGCTGGCTGGTTCAGGTTGAGCTGGTGAGCTAGACTGGGCTGAGCCAGGCTGAGCTGGCTGGCTCAGGTTGAGCTGGTGAGCTAGACTGGTCTGAGCCAGGCTAAGTGATCTGTGCTATCTGGGCTGGGCTGGGCTGAACGAAGCTGGAACCGAAGGAGTTCAGTGGATGGGACAGAGATGGGCCAGGCTGAGCTGAGCCTCTGGAGGAAGCTGGGCTGAGATATGCTAAACCCGGCCGAGCCCGTCCGGGGCTGACTGCGGATCAGCAGCAGACCTCGGGTCCTTGGCAGCCCGATTCTCTCTGGCCGCGTGGAGCTGTGCCGCTCAGTGGGTCCAGATGCTCACGTGGAGGCGTGCCCAAGCAAGGGCACACCCAGCGTCTGGCCCTGTCCAGGGCACCACTCTGGTTTGGGCCTCTGACCTAGATGCTGGGGCCCGTGGACGGAGGCCCTGACTGGGCAGGGCTGCAGATGGCCCCTCCTCCTAGTGTGGCCTTCAAGCCAGACCTGCCCCGCGCACCCCCACCGGGGCTGAGCCTCTGCCTGGACCCACACATCCCGATCCCCAAACTCAGCACACTCCCACAGGGAGCAAGGCGCGGTGCAGGCCAGTGCCCTGGGCGCCGTGTGCTGTCTGCGGTGGTCCGATGGGAGGGTCTGGCCACGCAAGGGCTGCCTGTGGTCAGTTCGAAAGCAGCACAAGACGCGCTGGCCAGCTCCCACCCCAGGCCCAAGCTCAGCCATGTGCCGATGGCAGGCGGTCCCTAGCCTGCTCTGGGCCGGGCTCTTCCAGTAAAAGGCGAGGCAGCGAGGGCTCCCAGCATCCCAGCCTCACCGCGTGCCCTTATTCCAGTGTCCCAGCAGGCCCCGTCCGTCTTCCCCCTGACCCCTGCACAGCCCGTGCCGGTCGACAGGGTGGCCCTCGGCTGCCTGATCCATGGATTCTTCCCCTCGGGACCTCTGAACGTGACCTGGAGCAAAAGCGGAGATGGTGTGACCATTATAAACTACCCAGCTGCCCTGGGCTCCAGGGGCCTGTACACCACGAGCAGCCAGCTGACCCTGCCAGCCAATGACTGCCCAAAGGGCAGCTCCCTCAGATGCTCTGTGCAGCACGACTCCAGCTCTCCCAAGACCGTGGATGTGCCGTGTGAAACAGG